ACCCGTGGACGGGATGATTTCTGATGATCTGGGAAAGCAAGAACAGGAGGAGGTTGATTCTAAAGGAAAGGGGGTCGTTGTCTTGGATGATTGATCGGAGTTATGTTACTTTCTAGGCTGCGAGTCTTAATTTATACCATTTTATTTTCCTTTTTTTCGTGTTTATCGTCGCGTCTATAAACCTCAAAATAACTGGAAAAAATGCTGGACCTTCTTTTGACCATTTATAAGATACATTTCCCTTATCAAAAGTTCACAAGTTGAGTTGCTTGATTGTTGACGGTAGTTTTCGGAGCATGACATGCTTCTACTGCATAATGCCTCTGGAGGAACATCCATCCTTTATTCGACTCAGTGCCATACCCATACCTGTATGCATGAGAATCCTTTGATCCAACCGAGTTGCCTCAGAATTTTGCATTTCCCATCAAACAATCCACTTCTCTGGACATCTAACGTAGTTTCAGTTATATTCCCAAATGCACTTTCGGAATATGGTCTTCTCTAGACATCTGATACCCATTCCTTCTTTCTTTTTCTCGATTCATAATATCTTCCGTTCTAATTAAGTAAACACTCTAGTCGTTGTGGAACAACTAATGTGTACCTCATAGCTCAAAATTTCAACTCTCTAGTGGTTTGTGGTTTAGGGTTTAGGGTTTAGGGCAAGAAACCTAAATCTCTCTATTTTCACCGACACCAAAAAACTACAATATTGCCCATTTGTTTTATGAACCCACCTAAACTATGATATCCTCCTAACTTATGCTACAAATTAAATACGAATTAGTGTGGAAAAAATGCTGGATTTCTTGTAGAGACATAATCCAACATACACCCTAATTTAATTATTTTTTTGGATTACTAGTTTAATAATTATTAATAAGATAATTAACAACCAGTAGTACTTGATTGTCAGGAATCACTACTGAAAGCGTAGGACCATTAGATCATCGGAAACCCCACATGAACCATACTCACTCAACCAGGTTGGCCAAGTTTAATTAAGTATCTTAGTTAATCATGTCCATGCCTTCAAATTAGAGGAAAGTAACGAGAGAATATATTTAATCGTGATTTTAAAGTATACTAATTAACTATTTTCTTAATTTCTTTTAAGTAGCTTGAAGGGTTCGCCATTGATTTTCTTACGATTCTTTTGAGCATACTTATATGAACAAAGAACCATCATTATATTAATTAATAATTAGTACTTTAAGGGTGCGTTTGTTGCGCCGGACTGTCTCGGACTGGACTAGCTGCCGGGACTAAGCTGGACTGGCTTAGACTGGACTAAGCTGGACTAACTTAGTGAAGCGTTTGGTGCAGTCTCGGACTAAGAAGCAGGATAAGAAAAACAGTACTGTTCACCATATTTGTGTTTGCTTAGACTAGGACTACAAATTTTTGCCATTGTGTAATAGAGTAATGCTACAAATCTTATGATATGGGTTAATTGGAGCATATTTTTGCCATGTATATTATGAATCTTAAAAAAAATTGACAATTGTTTTGTTTCTATTACCTGCTAATAGAATTGGGTTTAATTTGCAAATGTAGCTTGATTTAAACTCTATCACCCAACAGAAGAAAAATAATAGTGCCCAATACATGCAACTTCAACAAATACAAGTACATAAGATCTCCATAATTTAGAAAATCCTAGTTAACATTAGTTAACATTAGCCAAAATAGATCTCCATAATTTACAAAATGGCTAGTTAACATAAGCCAAAATACTAGTGCAAAGCTAAGTTATAAGTCATAACATAAGATTGTATGATTAATAAAATACATTCATGTTAACGTTATTAAAATACATCCATGTTAACATTAGCTAAAATCCTCATCCGCTTGCGTTGTCGCTTAAAAGCCTTTGGAAGAACACTTTCTTGAGTTCCGGTTTGATTGCCCTGAACACTCCCACATTTTTTGGTTTATCCAAAATAAGAGACAATGCATCAATTTGATCCATAGGAGAGAGACCCATTGCTTCAAGTTCATTAGCTATGTCAGTATGATCTGCAGTACCTTGAACTAAAGCTTCAGTTACCATTTGCATCCTCTTCCCACTTTCAACATAAAAATCTTTCAGTCCACTGATAATTGCCTCGGTTCCATCATTTGAACTTCCCACAGCTCTTTTCCTCTTTCTTTGGCTATTTTCAGATGGGGTGCTTTGTTGGCTTTGTTGGTTCATTGAAGAAACAAAATTTTCACCTCCAATATCACTTTCACCAACATGATCATGACTTTGTTCCTCCATCATTTGAGCAGGGGTTTCGGCTACATTACCCGTAGCCCGATCTTTTCCAAATATATATGCAAATCTATCAAACAGTGGAAAAGGTTTGCTTCTCCATCCATCGGCTTCTTTATTTCTCTAAGATTATATCAACATAGCAAAACTAAAATTTAGCATGCGTAACAAATATAGCAGCAAGAATATAACTAATGCATAAATAAAATAGGATATGAACCTGCACATAAGTTTGTCATGCGTCATCACTGTCAACTTCAACGCACTTTTTGACATCATTCCATGCAAATCCACTTGTGTTTATCATGTCAACGACCATACTATATGTTTTTTTCCATTTCTTCAACTTGGATTCAATATGTGGATTTGCCTTTATATTTGAATGAGGACATAAAACATTGACAGCTTTTGCTATTTCAACCAAAGTACTTTGTTTGAAAGCACCGGTGTCACACCGTTGCTTCCGAGCAACAAAATCCTCAAGAACTCCTAGTAATACTTCTTCCTCAAATGCTTCCCATTTACGCCTTCTTCCTTTTGGCTCTTGAGTAGCATTCAAAAAATTTTCGTTATCCATACCTAAACAAAAAATATTTTAATGAAGGAAAATACCATACAAATAATCAATTTGCATAATATCCAATCAACTTTCATAATATCCAATCAACTTGCATAACATCCAATTAATTTGCATACCATCCAATCATTGTGCTAATATCTAACAAATGCATGATAAAAAAGGAATACTAAAATAAAATGTTATCATTAACACATATAGCTAGTTCGGTTGCTGGTTCCTAATTGCTCTCCACTCATTATACATTTCCTGAGCCATATCATTCCTCATTGCAGTCCACTGGTCCGATGTTTGAACACTACCAACATATTCACCTTCTTCTGTATTTTGTCCATCTTCTATTATTGGCAAATTCTCCATTGGATCTACAGACATCTCTTGCCTAATAAGATTGTGTAGTAGGCAACAAGCGGTAATTATTCGACCTTGTGTCCTTATCGGATAGAAATATGGACTCTTTAGTATCGACCACCTTCCTTTTAGCAGGCCAAAACAGCGTTCAATTACATTCCTTGCCTTAGAATGCTTCATGTTAAAATATTCTTCCTTATTAGAAGGTGTTCGTCCCTCCCATTCAGATAAATGATAAGGTATTCCTCTATAGGGTGCAAGGAATCCTTCACCATTTGTATAACCACCATCTACAAGGTAATAACAACCTAATGAAAAAAAAAATAGACCTTATTAGTGTTTTGTAGTTGACAAACAGAACTAAACCTAACTTACAAAGTTGAGACTAAGTAATAGTCTTACCCGCTGGTACCTTAAAACCATTAGGCCTACTAATTGCATCATGTAGCACTCTAGAGTCTGATGCGGAACCCTCCCACCCCGGAAACACATATATGAACTGCATATCTCCTGAACACACACCTAACACATTAGTTGCGACTCGACCCTTTCTTGTTCGGTATCTTGGTTTGTCAATTTCAAGGACATGCACATCAATGTGTGTTCCATCCAATGCTCCCAAGCAATTCTTAAAAATAAAAAATAAAAAAGTTTTTGTTAATTTATACAAAGGGAATGAAGAGTTAAAGCTTAGGGAAAATGAAAAAAAATTCTCATCATACCTTAAAACATCGCCACCTAGGATCTGTAGAATCAATAGGCACAGGCTGGGGGACTTTTAGTAGGATACCTTGTAATCGCAAAATTCCTTGCAATACGCTATTGAAATACCTACTTATAGTCTCTCCCGACCTATAAAATCTACCGCCAACACTACGATTCTTAGTATGATGTGCTAATATTTGTAAAGTCATACACACCTGTTCCTCTACAGACACCAAACCATCAGTTTTTACCCTCCCATCTTGACGAAGTAAGTCGCATAATATGCCAAAAGTCCTTATATTCTCAATTCATTGACACATTCAGTATCAATATTCCCTATTATACCATTCAGATAACACAAACTAATCTCTCGTCTAATAAGTGAACGGTTAGTCAATGTGGGTCGTTCAACATGTCTCTGTTTGCCACGTAGCATCATCACCACAAGAATCGTACAAATACAAATTGTCTCCAAATAAGACATCTCTAACAATAAGATCAATAAAAGCTTCATTCGATCCATATATATCCAAACAAAACAAAAAACAAAAAACAAATTAACTAGATCATTAACCCGAGGCAACAAATATACAGGTGGCGTTGAAAAAAAAAAGTTTTCATTAACCCGAGGCAACAAATATACAGGTGGCGTTGAAAAAAAAAAAAGTTTTCATTAACCCGAGGCAACAAATATACAGGTGGCGTTGAAAAAAAAAAAGTTTTTATTAACCCGAGACAACAAATATACAGGTGGCGTTGAAAAAAAAAAAGTTTTCATTAACCCGAGGCAACAAATATACAGGTGGCGTTGAAAAAAAAAAAGTTTTCATTAACCCGAGGCAACAAATATACAGGTGGCGTTGAAAAAAAAAAAAGTTTTCATTAACCCGAGGCAACAAATATACAGGTGGCGTTGAAAAAAAAAAAAAAGTTTTCATTAACCCGAGGCAACAAATATACAGGTGGCGTTGAAAAAAAAAAAGTTTTCATTAACCCGAGGCATCATATTCAAAATGTTCTACTCTTATACATCTATAAACATGTGTCTAAGAACACTAGTATGAGGATTGCTATCATTGCTAGGCATTGCATGTGAAAAGGGAAATTAAAGGACACCTGTAATGCAGTAGCCTTAGCCTTAGCCTTCCGTTTATGCTCCTCTTCTCTGCAACCAACAACCACAAAAAATTGCAATTCAGCATTAACCCCACACAATACAAAACATTCACATTGTAATATCATGGTTATAAACCAAGTACACACACACACTGCATACATACATACACACACTGCATACATACATACACACACTGCATACAGTGCATACACACACTACATACACTACACACACACACTGCATACACTACACACACACCCTGCAAGTACACACACACTGCATACACCCTGCATACATACACACTGCAAACACACTACACACACACACTGCATACATACACACTGCAAACACTACACATATACACACACTACATACACTACACACACACACTGCATACATACACACTGCATACACCCTGCACACACACACTGCAAACACATTACACACACACACTGCATACATACACACTGCAAACATACACTACACACACACCCTGCAAGTACACACACACTGCATACACCCTGCACACACACACTGCAAACACACTACACACACACACTGCATACATACATACTGCAAGCACTACACATATACACACACTACATACACTACACACACACACTGCATACATACACACTGCATACACCCTGCACACACCCTGCACACACACACTGCAAACACACTACACACACACACTGCATACATACACACTGCAAACATACACTACACACACACCCTGCAAGTACACACACACTGCATACACCCTGCACACACACACTGCAAACACACTACACACACACACTGCATACATACACACTGCAAACATACACTACACACACACCCTGCAAGTACACACACAATGCATACACCCTGCACACACACACTGCATACATACACACTGCAAACACTACACATATACACACACTACATACACTACACACACTACATACACTACACACACACACTGCATACATACACACTGCATACACCCTGCACACACACACTGCAAACACACTACACACACACACTGCATACATACACACTGCAAACATACACTGCAAACACACTACACACACACACTGCATACATACACACTGCAAACATACACTACACACACACACCCTGCAAGTACACACACACTGCATACACCCTGCGCACACACACTGCAAACACACTACACACACACACTGCATACATACACACTGCAAACACTACACATATACACACACTACATACACTACACACACTACATACACTACACATACACACTGCATACATACACACTGCATACACCCTGCACACACACACTGCAAACACACTACACACACACTGCATACATACACACTGCAAACACACTACACACACACACTGCATACATACACACTGCAAACATACACTACACACACACACCCTGCAAGTACACACACACTGCATACACCCTGCACACACACACTGCAAAACACACTACACACACACACACTGCATACATACACACTGCAAACATACACTGCAAACACACTACACACACACACTGCATACATACACACTGCAAACATACACTACACACACACTGCATACACCCTGCACACACACACTGCAAACACACTACACACACACACTGCATACATACACACTGCAAACATACACTGCAAACACACTACACACACACACTGCATACATACACACTGCAAACATACACTACACACACACCCTGCAAGTACACACACTGCATACACCCTGCACACACACTGCAAACACACTACACACACACACTGCAAACACACTACACACACACACTGCATACATACACACTGCAAACATACACTACACACACACCCTGCAAGTACACACACACTGCATACACCCTGCACACACACACACTGCAAACACACTACACACACACACTGCATACATACACACTGCAAACACTACACATATACACACACTACATACACTACACACACACACTGCATACATACACACTGCATACACCCTGCACACACACACTGCAAACACACTACACACACACACTGCATACATACACACTGCAAACACAGTACATACATACACACACTACATACACTACACACACACTACATACACTACACACACACACACTGCATACATACACACTGGCAGTGTAACAACTTCTCAGGACCATGACAAAATAAAATGATATAACTACACTACACACACACACTGCATACATACACTCTAGTCAATTTGTTTATGCATAACGCATAGCAAAATGATATAACTACACTTCATCACAAAAAATCAGATAAGCTTCGAACTGCATCAGCAAGCAGATTGATTGAAAACTAAAATCAAATTCATTGAAGGCCCGTGAATTACCTGTTCAAAGAGTCCTTTCGGCAAAAAATGTAATGAAGTTGTACTTTGTAGTCGATATAGAATTCCCCTGGAACAATTGAACGCATAATAATTAAAACCGAATACAAACAAAATGAAGTAAGATTTAAAGTGGCAGATAACAGAACATAGATTACATATCCTACACGTTTATACTAATAAACTTGTTGATGGCACATGGTGGTGGTAAAACAAAATCCTGAAAACATCCACTGTGCTAGAAACATATTCTAGATTCTGAGAAGGCCATATCCTAATATTCTGTTCAACGATCCAGATGAAAGAAAGGCAGGGCACTCAAGAACTAAAGAGAAATTATTCATTATTTAAGTTGGGTTAGTTCTAAACATTGAAAGGCAGCCAATATTTGAAGAACCTAATAACTTGTACCAATTTATATATACAAAATCGGGGTATATATAAAAATCACTCACAGAATCCAAAGAGTAGTAACATAATTCAATGTAATTCCTCTTGCAAAGACACCAACTTTTCGCAACAATGAGATTAAAAACCAAATCAACCAACTATCAAAATCCAATGAGTGGTAAACAAGCTATACATTATGCAAAATAGGCAATCAAACGGCCAAAAAACAGCCACAAAATCCAACCTTTTTGCACAGCTTGAGACGTTTCCGCCGCAATGCCTCTCCTTGCTTCTGCTCAGCTTCCCTTCTCCTCTTCTTCTTCCTCTTGTGAAACCCAGACACGAAATTGCTTCACAAAATCCAAACAAGCAAAGCATCAAAACCCGAAAAATCAAAAAACCCAATTCAGAAAATGCGAAAAGAAACAAAATTTCAGGGCTTAGATTTCATCACTGAGCAAATTTTGTGATGGCGGTTTTTACTACCTGAGGATTTGAAAGAAAAGTTGAAATATGAAAACCCCAAATTCTAATCTTAATTTGACCTAAAAATCAAAACCCTAATTTGTTCAAGTGCAGAGGTCTATCATTGAAAATTTCTCAAACCCAAACAACAAAATCAAATGAAGCTCAGTAATACCACGATCTGCAAAACAAATTGACGAAATAAAGCGAAGATGCGAAGTTTACCAGACAAGTCGGAGCAGATGAGGGCGAGCAGATGCAGATGAGGGAAGGCGCAGAGATCAGAATGAGGAAGATGACGATGAGGGAGCAGGGCAAGGACGACGATGAGGGAAGACGCAGCGATGAGGACGAGCGACGTAGGTTCTTGGATGAGTGACTCTCTCGCGGCTTTCTCTCAGGGCTTACGAGTCCTCCCGAAACTGGGGTTCCTCGTTAAGAACGCGTAAGGAGGTGAATAATCTGAGCGAGTCCGACCTAAGGTCATTAAAACTAATCCTGCTACAAACCAAACAAGGGACTATAGTCCAGTCCAGTCCTCCCTAGTCCTGTCAAACAAACGGCCCCTAACAGANCCCATTGCTCCAGATTTTTTTCTGGAGCCTTCCAAATTAATGACAAAATGATTATTTTGTCCCCGACTTGAATTGTTAATAACTTCTTTGTTATCATCCCGTTTCATGAACAGTTTTCACCTACACTTGTGGAATCGTCCTCTATCCAGATATGTCAAGAAATACAATAAAATATATGAGGATGAAATACGTCCTCGTAAAATTTTGTTTAATCAACTAGGGGCATTTTTATCTTTTCCCCTTATCAATAGATTTTTTTCACATAATCATATATTTTAAATTTTTTTAGGGTATTACAAAGATGCTCATTTTTAAACTCGCACATGCTCTCCTTATCCCATCACTCAATTTAGATTTTTTTATTCCTTTCAAATGAGATGTCATAGATGAACAAGTAGTTATGATAATTGTAATGATTAGGAGTTAAGAGATTACTTATATATCACGAGAAATCAAGTTCCCATCACTCTTTTTTTTTATTATATTGATTGAAATTTTATTTCTTTTTAATTTTTGATCAAGTTCTTTAGAATTTATCCATGTCATTAGTTCAATAATAAAATATTTACATGCTAACATTTTTAAATGTTATAATTAAAAATTATTTATTTTTTTTCAAATATATTCATTTAGTGTTGGAAACGTTACATTTGATATATTGAATTTGTCTTTATTTGTTAATTAACTAACAAATAATTTTGTTAAAAAATGTATAGGTTACCAAAAGATTTGATTTTATGGACTCTCAATTTAGATATGATAACGGGACCAACAACCCTGCAACCTCCCTTCTCTTTGGGCCTAAGGTATTGGCGACAAGTTTTTTGCAGCTCTCACCACAACAGGTAAGTCTTAAACTTAATTAAAGTGTGTCTATTGCAGTATATAGGATCCCTATCGTGTTCTCTTAATTAACACACACCAGAAAGATAAAGTGTAGTGTAAGAGTAGAGCGCTAATAGTTTCCAATTATAAGTTGGGGCTTTCCAATATTGGTTAGCTAATATTTTTTTGTTTTATGTTTGTAATGGACAGGATTTAACTCTAGCGTTATCGTTGGTGAGATTTTCTCCTTTATATAATTATGATCTAATAAAACTCACGGAGGAGAATTATGGATCAGTTCGTAGAGTATTCATTGTGTCCGCCCAAGACCGTGCGATAGTGTTGGATGTGCAAAATTACATGATCAATAACAATCCCCCAAATGAAGTGAAGGTGATAATAGGTTCTGATCACTTGGTCATGCTCTCTAAACCTGTGGAGTTGTTCTTTTCATCTCCAAAATATTGCTGAGAAAATATGCATAAAAACATGAATGGACATGATTAATTCAGGCATGCTAGCCTGCGTTGCATGCACCATGGTACCAAATGCAAATGAATAAATGAGAGTTATTTTCAACTACCAAAAATTACGCGTCCATGAACTTTAGTTCAAGAGGCATGACGCACTACTATAAACATGGTCCCCGCGTTTAGCTCTGGCTTGTGGTGGCTTCTCATCTTTCAAATTTATGTTTTTTTTATTTTTTTTTTAATTGTGTTGCCTAGCAACTATCCCCTTCTATTAAAAATCTATCCTATCTTTGTAAGGTATCTCTCTATTTAAAGGGCTCTATATGCCCTCAAAATACAGTGAATTGGTTAATTTTAAAAAATTAATCTAAGATGAGAATGTTGAGTAAATTTACGATTAATGACATTAAGCGAGTTTCGTTGCTCTTAATTGAGTGAATCCCAAGTTCGTATCTCTCGTCTCTTCAAGACCCTTGGTTTGTTCTTATCAAGTTTGATAGCTCAACAACTTAATTAACTACCGTATAATAATTCAAAAGGTATCACTTAATTTCATAGTAAGAAAATCAGAACAAAAATAGTTCCTGTAAACAACGTTGGGTTAAGACAACTAAAGAACGGCATCTGCCCTAGACGGCTGTACGTAGGCGTTTAAACCAATAATAGTCATAGTATACAAACGTCACTACTGCCGCTCGACGGCATTTTATTATATAAATGGCGTTTATTTTGATCAAGCTAAACAAACTAGACGAAATCAAAGAATTATATATATATATATATATATATATATATATATATATATATATTATGTACTGTGTAAGATTAAAAATCTAATAAAGCCAAAGAATATAATGTTTGAAAAGAATACTACGGGCAACTTAGAGTGGGGAATATTGTTAGATTTCTAATGCTATCAATGCATCCACCAAAACCTGAATAATTTTCCATATTGAATGAGAAAAATAAATTGAGAATTTAGACAAAAGTCATCAACAACAACAACAACAACAAAGCCTTTTCCCACTAAGTGGGGTCGGCTATATGAATCCTAGAACGCCATTGCGCTCGGTTTTGTGTCATGTCCTCCGTTAGATCCAAGTACTCTAAGTCTTTTCTTAGAGTCTCTTCCAAAGTTTTCCTAGGTCTTCCTCTACCCCTTCGGCCCTGAACCTCTGTCCCGTAGTCACATCTTCGAACCGGAGCGTCAGTCGGCCTTCTTTGCACATGTCCAAATCACCAGAGCCGATTTTCTCTCATCTTTCCTACAATTTCGGCTACTCCTACTGTACCTCGGATTTCCTCATTCCCAATCTTAATCCTTTCTCGTGTGCCCACACATCCCACGAAGCATCCTCATCTCCGCTACACCCATTTTGTTTTACGTGTTGATGCTTTCACCACCCAACATTCTCTGCCATACAACATCGCTGGCCTTATTGCCGTCTTATAAAATTTTCCCTTGAGCTTCAGTGGCCTACGACGGTCACACAACACGCCGGATGCACTCTTTCCATCCAGCTCGTATTCTATGGTTGAGATCTCCATCTAATTCTCCGTTCTCTTGCAAGATAGATCATAGGTAACGAAAACGGTCGCTTTTTGTGATCTTCGCTAGATTGCTCCCGGTCATTAGTGTGGATAAGTATATAAATGGATAGAGATAGGAAAGCAAACACAAGATGTACGTGGTTCACCCAGATTGGCTACGTCCACGGAATAGAAAAGATTTCTCATTAATTGTGAAGGGTTTACACAAGTACATAGGTTCAAGCTCTCCTTTAGTGAGTACGAGTGAATGATTTAGTACAAATGACATTAGGAAATATTGTGGGAGAATGATCTCGTAATCACGAAAACTTCTAAGTATCGGAGTGTGGTGTCGTCTTGACTTGCTTTATCTGTCTCATAGGTAGATGTGGCATCTTCTCTGGAAGTACTCTTCCTCCATCCAGGGGTGGTATCTTTAACTGGTGGAGATGCACAAGGTAATGTATCAATTTCACTTGAAGCTTACTTGTAGTTTTCAGGCTTGGTCAAGCGCGATACAAACCATGTAGTAGGAGTCCCCCAAGTCGCCGAGCTAGGGGGTCTGCTGAAAGAGGTGACAGACAAGGTAAGCAATCAGAGCTCTGACTGATTGTTCACCTTCTCCCCATCTTGCAGCAGCATGAAGGATAAAGAGAAGAAAAATGAGAAGAGATGATATGAGATACTTTTGCTTTTGAAGAAGTAACTTTCCACAGGCTTATTCTTGAACTGAGCTGGAGGGTTTTCTGGTTTCCTCCAGAGTATAAGGCCGACTGAAGAATTTGAGGGTCAAAACAAGTCCATCAAATCTAGAGTACGTTCCACCCTGCTGATATGGGATACTTTTGCTTTTGACAGAGTAATGGATGTATCGGCACGTGTGCTGTTACGCTTGTCTCCACATGCTTCCTTGTATCCTTCGCACTTGCCCTATCTGTTCCTCAAGCAGATGCGGAATCTTCCCTGGAAACATAAGATGTTGAAGATGAGTACTCGAGAGCAATGCCAGGTAAGTAATCAAGTAAGGGGTTCCAGGCAGTCAGTTCCTGGCTGGAAGCTTGATTCCAAGTGCTGACTGATTGCTCTCTTTCTCCTTGTCTTGCAGGTAAAAACAAGGCCAAAAGAAAAAACAGGGAAAAAGCATGATATGGGATACTCTTGCTTTTAACCCTGATGATATGAGATATTCTTGCTCTAGTATAGCTTGTTTTGCAGAGGTATTATCGGGGGGAAAGAAAAGCTGAATATTTCGAAAGGCTTTGTTGGGAGTGCCCTCTCAGATATGATGAAGGGTTGAGCATTTTTGCAGGTCTGCCTGTCCGTTGGGGATGGAGGTCGACATATATAGGAGTCTCCCTAACAACAAAGTAGTAATGCTATTCCTTTACCCTGCTTGGTCATAGATTTGCCCTTATAATCTGAATGAAAATATATTTAAATTTATTGATTTATCCAAATTTTGAATCTTTAAAGCCTTTAATCTATTCAATATCCAACGAAAAAAATTAAAATTCATGGCACGTTTATCAACAACAAAATCTACTGTGATATAAATTCTTGATAAAAGTAGATTACAAAAAGAAAAAACCTATGATATAGGGACATAAATACAAAATATGTGATGAAGATATATGTAAATAATATCTAATTAAACTATGGTGTAGGTAGATAATGCAACTAATTTGTGATGCAGGTAGGCAATGCAATCAATCTGTGATGCAGGTAGTTAATTTACAAACAAAAAAACATACGCTACATATGCAATTAATCTCTAATGTAGGTAGAGTATTATAAAAAAACCCTAAACACAATTAATCTTAGATAGATTATCAACAAAATATGTAATATATATATATAGGTAGATAAATACAATTATTCATGATACAGGTACAATATAATATTAAAAAAAGGACAAGTGATTTAGGTAGATAAAAACCAAAAAAAAAAAGGGAAGAAAAATGATATTGAGGGGGAAACACTAGAGAAAATGCAAATTCGATAGAACTTCAAAATTAAAAATAATCTAAGAAAAAGGAGAAAGAAGCAAAAAAAAAAAAGGGACGAAGAACCCAAAACACAAGATTGACTAATGCAATTTTTTTTTTAAACCAATCAAATGTATGTTGATCATCCTTATGGAAGGAGGAGGAGAAGAGGAATATTATGGAAGAGTATTTATGGGCAAAATAACACAGCAAGAGAAAGATATTGTGAGGGAGAAACAAGAAAAGAGAATTGAAACAATAAAAGAGAAATGAACGGTTTGGGGAATGAGAAGAAAAAAGGAGATTTAAATAGGATAAGATTAACATTAATCACAAATTTTTAAAAAAAAGTAATAACTTAATTAGTTAATTTGAGGGTAAATTTGGCAAGAGAATACAAATAAGCTTATGTGGATAATGAATCACTGGACCTAACCAAAAAATTAAAACAAAATTGGACTATAACTAATAATTGCTCATAAAATTGGACTCATATTAAGTTTCCCCTATTTTTAAAATGCTGGGCTTCTCTTCCCAGAGAAGAGAAATCTCTTGACAAAAGTGGCGTAATAGGATTAACATGTGTAAACAATTATTAGTTCAATATAAATATTCTTTTTATTATTTTCAGAAAAAAGAAATTATTAGAACTGTATTGGATGTGGCAGTAAAATGACAGGTACATGCAGCCGACTGAATTTGTACAAGAATTATTGTGATTGATGATAACATATATATAAAGTATATATTTATTCTGTGTCGTGAAATCGACCTATGCGTGTCTCTGACGTCGTGATGATCGAGAACGGTTCAAAGTAGTTCAGAAATTGCTGCCAATAATTTGAGTAAACCCTTCACGCATATATGTACAGAGGATTATTGCATCATTGCATGTTACTATTTGCATAGACATGCATGTAGATGTAGGTAATTCAGTGGAATTAATTTATTAAATGATAAAGATGTGGGAGCATGCACTGGGGATCTACCAGCAGTGGAAGATCAAAAGAAAGAACACATTCTGCTTTAGGACTTTTTAATTAAATTGATAGCTCTATTTATATCCTATAGTAGTATGTAGGGATAAATTATAACAAATAGGAAAGGATGATTGACACGAAATAGGACGTTTATCATGCGATGTCATGATAGGAAATCAAAACATATGATATGTGTTATTAGCCTGAAATATTACGGCAACGCTCGTATTAGAGTGTAGGTAAGCCTTACTCATTTGTTATAATGAATTATATTGCTTAGCTCCATTGCAAAGCCAGGTATATATTCTCAATCTTTGGAAAAAATAAGAGGCTATATATATATTATAAAGTGAAGAAAAGTTGAAGCAAAAGAAAGAGTACCGAAAATAAGGCAAGGTGCTGGGAAAGGTTGATACAGGGAAGAGACAAAGGGTGAGCTTTAAATCCACGCTTGCTTTTGCTATTAAGTGCCACTTGCCAACCCTCCCTCCCTCTATCCCTACGCCCCCCCCCCCCCTCTCTCTCTCTCTCTTCTCTCTCTCTCTCTCTCTCTCTCTTAAACAAACGCCTCCCTACGCGCCCCCCCCCCCCCCTCTCTCTCTCTCTCTCTCTCTCTCACTCTTAAACAAACGCATGACATTGATGGCTTATAGGGATGTTCGACCCCGAAATATCGGATACTTTAGGTGAAATGTTTTATACTTCAAAACACTATAAAAAAAATTTGGTTCTTATATTACAACGTTATTAACCGTTTCCTATTCAACATCATTTCTCACTCCAAATGCCAATCAACAGGTCACCTTTACAACTAAATAGAACTAAAACTCAAAGGTTCTATATATCTTTTTGGTTCTTTCCCTTATATATTCCACGTGGTCGTTTTTTCTCTACAACTTCATGACTTACAAGGGGAAAATATTCAATACTCTTTTACTTCCATGCAGACCTTTATTTGTTTTTTATCTTTAACTTGAATAAATAATGAGGAATACCGAGATAAAAATAAGGAAAAATTAGTATCCGGTCCCTAGTTTTTACTATTCATTGACTAAGACCTTATTAGTTCTCAAATTTTGATTCAAGTCCCTAGCATTAATGTGATAATGAATTTACTTGTTTATTATATAATTTTTTAATATAAAAATTAGTAATTAATTTAGGGTTTAATACTCACACCTCTATTAAACTTCTAATTAATTTTCAATTCAAACATTTCCAAAATAATAAAAAATTAAATTAAATTAAGTTTGTACCTATTATTATTTTTTATATATAAAAAGATTCTCAATTTTTTAATCTTAAATGTACCCATTCATATAATTTTTCATTTTTTTTAATCTTAAATGTACCCATTCTCAAATATATCAATTTGTTATATGTAAAATGTACCCTTTTTTAATAATAAAATCCATTCAAAATTTTTAATCCATGTTTAAACTTATATGGGTACATTTTTTTTCGTTGATTTGAGAATGTATCCATGTTTTGGTACAATAACTTTTTTTGTTAATTTTGGTTAATGTACCCATACATATATGTATATATATATACACACACACACACACAATATAATAGAGAGTATAATTTATATTTTATTATTTTTAATCCCATAAATTATGGGTTTTATTTAAAATCTCATTAATATAAACAATTACAAATTTCAATTTTTAATTTTTAATTAAAAAATATATAGTAACTTACATTATTACATTAATATCAGGGACCTCAATCAAAAACTAAAAACTAACAAGGTTTCAATCAAAGAATATTGATAGCTAGGGACCGCATCCAAAGTGTCTCTAAAAATAAACATGAAGCATGCATAAATTATCTTTTAATATAGAAAAGATCGAACCAAATTATTAAAGTGATGGTAAAAGTGCATTAAATTAGTTAAAATGAAGAAACAAACGAAAATGTTAGTGTTGTTTTATTATAGATGACGGTAATATTGGAAGTATTTCACAATAAAGATGAAAGCTTAGATCAAAAACGGTTATAAGATTCCAAGGGTTAGCCATCTTCGAGCAAAAGTGATGTTTTTTTTTATATGAATTTGCACAAATTTCTTCTCATAAGATACAACTATTTCTTCAATTATTCTTAATTTTTCCATTTTCACCTCGTTAAAAAGAAATGAAATGGTCCTACCAAATAGACGTATGGGGGTCCAACCCATGGAAGATGATGGACCATGTCTATAGACAGGTAGTCTTGTTTGTCTCTCTCCTCTCCCTCCAAGTGCGAGACAGATCGAACATACATGATTAATTTTCATCTATTAGTTCAGTCTTTAGTTTCATACATATAAAGTACACAGTACCATGCAAAAAAAAATTCAATTATTACAATCTAGAGTTATTTTGAGTGCTTATAAACTTGTCAAACTAGTTAGAGTAGTGTGTTTGCTTTTCCGCACTCAAATTTAAATTTTCTCTCTCTTTATGAAAAGTCTAAAAAAACTACCCTTTTAATGAAAAGTCATTTTTAAAGATATAATTAATAGTACCAAGGAAATGTATAAATGTGATTTTTTGTTAAAAGTGAATAGTATTGAGAATATATTGTTAAAACTCCCTAAAGAAGTTTTTGGATGCGGTCCCTTGCTATTAATGTTTTTCTTACTAAAACCTTGTTAGTTTTCAATTTTTTTATTAAAATTTTTGACATTAATATAATAATGTATTTCTATGTAGGTTATTATATTGTTTTAAATTAAAAGTTGAAATTTGTAGTTATTTATATTAATGAGATTTTAAATAAAACTCATTATTTATGGGATTAAAAATATAAAAATATAAATTGTACTCTTTAATATATTGTATGTATGTATGTATATGTATATTTATATGTATGTATATATATATAAACATGGGCACATTCATCAAAATTAATAGAAAAAATTATTGCACTAAAACATGTGTACATTCTTCGAAAAAAAAGAAAGATATTAGGCTTAATAACATTAGTAAATTTCTTCGATTAAACTTGACATGGATATATATTCTTAAATCAACGAAAAGGAATGTACTCATATAAGTTTAAAAAATGGATTAGAAAAAAAAATGAATGGATATTATAAAAAAAATGGGTACATTTTATATTTAAAAAAAGGTACATTTTACATATAACAAATTGGTATATTTAAGAATAAGTACATTTATGATTTAAAAAAATTGAAAATTTATATGAATGGGAACATTTAAGATTAAAAATTTGAAAATCTGTTTATAAAAAATTAGTGGGTACAAACTTTTCTAATTTTTTGTTTTCAAATGTTTTGAATTGAAAATTAATTAGGAGTTTAATAAAGTGTGAGTATTAAAACAGTAAATCAATTACTCAATTAGCCAAATCGAAAACACGGAGACTAAATTGGCCATATGACTATAACACAGGGACCATTTTGACATTTAAGCCATATCGTTTTTGAATAAAAAAAGTTATGAGTGCAACCTCTACATTTCGATGGATCTATATATTTACATCTCCTCGCCCCTTCTCTCTCTCTCACATTTGTTAATTAAGGCAGCCAAGCTTGAAAACCCTTGCTAGCTAGAAACATACTCCATGGGCACAGAACGTGACATTGATGGTTACTTAACCCTAGTTTCAATCACCAAAACCGTGTCTGTACTCCCAAAAGTTCTGCACCCACCAAAACTTCTCACCCTCTCAAACTTGGACAGGCAGAGTCCAATCCATATGTACTTGGTTTTCTTTTATAATTCTAACTCTGCTGCTCATCATAAAGACAACGATCTGTTACTTGATGGAGCTGATGATTCGGTTTTCGGAAGCTTGAAGTGTGGATTGGAAGAGACGTTATCGGTGTGGTACCCAGCTGCGGGGAGGTTGAGCTTGAACCCTAGTGATCATGGAAACAAATTCAACTTGTGGTGCAACAACAAAGGCGCTGTTCTCGTCGAGGCGGAGACACCGGTTAATGTCTCGGAGCTTGGGGACCTCTCTCAGTACAATGAATTTTTTGAGAAATTGGTTCACAAGCCTGTGTTTGATGGAGACTTCTCTGAGACGCCCTTGGTTGTTGGTCAGGTAATTATATGTACTGATCAAATTTTGTATTATTTCAATATATTGCCTAATTAAAAGATACATTTGTATACAATTTGTTCAAGGATATCAATTCCATATACCTTGTTATCTTTAATTCTGATATATATTGATTGTTTTCGGATAAATTTATGGGGTTTTTGAACATTAGTCGTCGGAAATTTTGAAATTTAAAAAAAAAATCTGATGTTAGATTACACATTAATTTTAATTCTTTGGAGTGTATGTTTATCAAAATTTATATTCTATTTTTGTTATTAAATGTCCCCACATCAAAATTTTGATTATTGATATGCACATTTTAGTTCTTCCAATTATAAATTATAAATAAATTTAAATCTGAAAACATTAAAACTACACATAAGAAAAATATGTAAATACATAAGTGTACGGAAATGACTGTATCGAAGTATATTAAATTGACTTGTTTGAACCAAAATGTATGTACCGAACTATATTATAATGAATTTGTATACCAAAATATATTTATTATGAGTTAGTGTACCAAAATATATTCTAATGAATTAGTGTAGATTTTAGAAAAATAAGAATCATAAAATTACAAAAAAAAAAAAGACATGAAATATAAAGGATGGCTTTTAAATATAACTAAGGGACTAAACTCAATATTGAATTTTGTACAAGGCATTAATCTAAACTTCATCTATTTAAATATTAAAATCTTGTTTTCTATAAATTTATATATTAATCTTCATTAGGGTTTGTTGGAATGACATATATATAAATTTTTCATATGTAAAATTTTCGAAATAAAAAATTTGTACATGCTTGATTTAAAAATGAACCAATTTCTTTTGGATCTGTTACTAACACTTCAAATAAGTTATGTTTGCACTTCATAGATGATGATATTTTTTAAGTGCCAACAAAAACTCTTGTCCATAGAATTTGAACTCAAGACCGATTAAGTTGGTATAACATCTTGTAATGATTTGGCACCGTAGGTGACCAAGTTTGGTTGTGGAGGCTACTCAGTAGGTATTGGTATCAGCCACTCATTGTTCGACGGACCGGCGGCGTATGAATTTATGAGTGCATGGGCTTCCAATTCTACCAAAACTAAGAAACAACACAAAGTTTCGGAGATTCCTAATTTACCAGTGCACGACAGAGGGACACTACTGATGGACAAGTTTGATGAAGCTCAAAAGGGGATTAGTACAGACTTGTTGCCAAACCAAAACGAGGACGGATCTCCCGGAGTAACTAGGGCTGCAGCCGTTGGTCATTTATATCAATTGATCATACAAGCAGCAGCATCCAATGACCACATGAATTTCCTCAAAAATGGGTCTAATATTTTGGATCAAATTAATGATCGTAATTATGTTTATAAGACCTTTCATCTGAGAGGTACACTGATTGAGAGTTTGAAGAAAGAAGTTTGTGGTCATGAAACGAGTAGCTTTCCATGTTCATCCTTTGAAGTTGTGGCTGCTCACCTCTGGAAGGTAAATTTCTTAATTAATTGGCGCTCTTGGAGAAAACTAGGTCAAATCAAACAAAAAGAAAACACTAGTTTCCTTAAACTTTCATAAATAAGGCTTAATTTTTACCTTTCATAATTATAATGGTAATCATGTATAATTGTGTATGCAGTTCTCAAATCGGAGATGAATTTTCACAAAACTTTGGTATTGGTTAAACTTTTTTAATGAATTAATGGCTATAACAACATTTTTAGACTATTATTATTGAGAAAAGAGATTTTCTGAAAAGTGGAATTCTCTATGAACTCTCTGTCACCTCATCATTTAATGTCAATTTTGTGTCAATATTATAAAATACTATGTCAAAAACATAATGTGGCAGCGAGTCTCACTTTTGAGAGAGTGTCCTTATTAGTATTTCACATTATTATTTTATATGATGAACATCTTGATGTCTACGCGTATAACATATATGTAGACATGTTTTGTATAATTTACTTTGAAACAAACCATAAACAAAATTGTTCAAGTTTCTACGAAGATTGGAAGCTATTGAATTGACTAGGGTTGTGTATAGACCAAATTAGAACTTTTTTCTTTTAAAAGTAGTAGAATACGATAAATGCGGGTGAGACCAATTTACATATTATGTCGGTCTCTCTGCATTCAACTTCGATAACTTGTGTAAATTAGAATGGTTTTCTAGTAAATGATCAACAAAATACATTCGTCCTTTGAACTAGTTCATAGTCATATCATTTTCCAGTTATATTCATCCCAAATATTAAAAACGCACCAACGAATGAAGACAAGAGAGTCGGGTTCGTTTTCCAGTTGTGGTTGAATGATTGATGTCATGAATGCAGGCAAAGACCAAGGCTTTAGGAGTGAAGAAGGAAGCAATGGTGTGCCTACAATTTTCCGTCGACGCAAGGAACAAGGTGGACCCCGTACTTCCCCAAGGCTTCAGCGGCAATGCGTTCGTGCTGGCCTCCGTTGCCCTAACGGCGGCACAGGTGGAGGAAGCCACCCACAAAGCCATCGTCGAGAAGATAAGGGTGGCCAAGAACTCTGTCACCAACTCCTACGTGAAGGCATACATGGAGGCAGTTGGTGGGCCACAGACTACTCTGCCTCCCCTTGAGGAGCTCACTCTGGTATCTGACTGGACCAGAATGCCCTTCCACAAAATAGGGTTTTTGCATGAATCGGCCGCATATGCGTCTCCGTTGGTCTCTTCGATCTCGCAGGTCGCGTACTTTATGCAAAACCCTAGTGACTGTAAGGGCATTGACATGAGAGTCGGATTGCTTCCGCAATACGTCAGTGCCTTCTCTCGCTGTTTCATTGCTAACGACTAACAAGCAATGAAGACGCACAAATCCCCCAACTCTGTGGCTAAGCTCCGATAGCGAAGGAAGTGCTGTTGATATTAAATTAGGTCAAGAGTTCGAGTTCGATTGGTCCAATTGTTTGGTTGAAACTATTGTATTTGTTTTGCGTTTACTTTCTCTTTTTGTTGGTAGTTGGGTGTGAGCTTTAGTCTGAAGGTGGTCTGTGGAGAGATTAATTATTATATGATTATGATTTCCATATGAGGTGTTCATAGATAGTTGTTTATTACACGATTTTTGAAATGGTCGTTTGGTGAGGCACATTACAGTATTAACTTGGAAAATATAATTATGGTGAGATGTACTTTTCTTTGGTTACATTGAACAGGATTATTGTCATCGGGTACAAAGTCATACGAAAAAAAACATGCAAATAACATCATATTATAAAATTGAATTTTTTTTATAGCAATAAGCTTATTTCGTATAAGTTGCTCTTTGAACTATCAACTATATTCTTCAATAGAATTATGAATCAGTAATTATCTCCAAACTTTCTTCATATAAAATAAATAAAATGGTAAGAACTCACAATATTATAGTTGTTATTCTTTTTATGAAGTAGCATATCAGATCAGGCAGACGATGCTTGTTATTTTTAATGAGATTGATTCTTTGTGATCCCTCTACTCGGTTTTATATTTGTAATACAGCTCAAAGAAAACAAAGAAAATAAAACTGCTGCGTGAGGATTAGAAAGTATGCTAATTATGCAGAATTAATTAAACTAAAGGGAAGCCAAAGCATATGTAGTCAAAGAGACATGATTAACTACTCCTTAATACATTGTCGGGGCCTGGACGACAAGGCCTCTTCATCATACAGATTAAACAAAGCCCTTATGACTCAGCAACTAAATAGAGAGATTGGAGACTAATTCTTGCTACTCAAATACAAAACTTGAGATTAATTAGATAAGAAGACAAATACGAAGAACAGCGCCGCGACTTCAAAGAGTATTCTACACAGGGATTAGGATTTCGCCTTATCTCCTTTCCTGCATCACCAAGTTCATGTTATTGAGTTTTCAAACAAGTAAAAGGAAAATATCAGAATCGTAATGCAACAAATTCTGCAGTTCAATGTAGCGACTACGCAATGGTATCTAAGTTTTCGGTAATCAGTGAACTAGTATTTGTTCATACACTAGGATGTTAACTGCAATTAGATGAGCAAGAAGCGTTCCTAATAGCTGTACACATATGTGACAGGTAAACAAACAGCATGATTTCATTCAGTTATCAAGACATTGTATGGGTAAAGTTAGTGAATCTGACAGTAACTGAGGCCGGTAAAAAAGCTCCCTACCTGTTTCATCATTGAGCTCACTAACTCATCCAACGAACCAGCATTGTGGGGAACATAACCGCCCTGTGGCTTCCGTTGGTCCATAAGGTACCCCTGCTGCTTCAACTTCAATGGTGCATCCATAGTTGATATTTCAACATCAAGAAAATCTGGTTGTCCAATCGAATTGAAGTCGCTGTTTCTTTGGAAGGCTGAGCTTCTAGCGTCCAAATTCTGGTCAAAAGGAGCTACGTTATCATTGACAGGCATCAAATTGTTCATTGAGCTACACATGACATCTGGGCGGAACGGGGAATCCTGCTTCGGTTCATCCCACCCCATAAACAGGTCATTGTTAATTGTTGGCCCAGAATTATTGCTCATTGTAGATGCCGGGACCTGCATTCCTATTCTTGAATCCTGCGATTGACAGGGGATTGAATTTATACAAGAAACATCAATCTGAGAGCTCCCAATTTGTGAGGACATTACAGGCATATCGTGCCTCAGGTTACTTACAAGAAGAGTAGGTTGTTTAAAAGAGTCGCGTGCTGAGAAAGAATTTGACCGGAATGCAGATGACTGAGCAGCGGTCGGCCAGTTGTCATTCAACCGTCTGTGATCCAGAAACGAGGGCAACAGTTCTGGTTTTAAGGAGGGCATTGATACAGAAGACTGCAACATTACATGATTTCTTCCGACTTCAGAATCTTGAGTATGTCTTAACAATGTGTTGTCTGTAAGACCGAAAGGATCATTTGACCTATTCGTCACTTTTCCATCCGTAAAACCACTGGAATTGGGATAAATTGGTGCGTCATAGGTGGAACCCCTACTATGTTGCTGATCAAGTTCCAAGTGTGCCGGAAGCATATTTCCATTACGGTTTCCAGGAAACATGACTGGCTGATCATTAATGGAGTTGCTTGGATTCTGTGCATGACCCAATTGAAACATTCCGGATGAAGGAAGGCAATGCAGACCCACACCAGCAGGAGTGTTCAATCTACCAATCATCCCATTAGGCGGGAAGGATCTGTATCCGTTGTTATGAAACTGCGCAGGTCCAGTCAATGCATGGTAATTTCCAACTCCATTCATAGAAGCTGTTCGCAAATATGAAGAATCCGAAGTGCCTAAGGCTGCCACCATATTAGCTTGTTGGTTTGCCACACAGCTGATCCTTTTCAGGTAGAGCCTATACTTCTGCAAAGAAAAAATAAAAATAAGCTCTGTAGAATAGAAGATAAAGATTGTACGAAACTAAGGATACAACAGAATTTATACCTGGAGATGGCTTGCAACATTTTCCCTTGTAAGCTTTTCAACATTCATCAAATCTAGAATCTTTTTCGGTACAGCCTCTGCATACAAAACAAAATTTAAGCGAATCAATTAGTTTTAAAGGTCGCACTTGGTGCGATGGCAAGTGCCTTCGCCCATGAACGGTAGGTCTAGGGTTCGAGACTTGAGAGCAGCCTCTCCATAAATGGGGGTAAGGCTAGCCGACATTCACCTCTCCCAGACCCTGCGTAAAGCGGGAGCCTTGTGCACTGGGTACAACCTTTAATTAGTTTTAAAGGTTTCATGTGAGAAACAAGCGTTACAAACAAGCAAAAAATATGACAGATTCCGGATGCATGAGTCAACTATTCACTACTAGGAGTTTCAAAGCTAGGGTATAATTTCTGAATTCCACATATTACAAATATGTGGATAATTTCAAATAGCTTTGAACAGGGATAAAGAACATACTGTCAATGCCCAACTGATTAACAGCAGCCACAAATTTGCGATGCAGCTCCACAGACCAAACAACGCGAGGCTTTTTCTGGGTTGAAGGATCGTCATTTTCATATTCATCCTCATCATGATCCTCGTCCTCGCCGTCATTCTGATCCTTCCGTTTCTTATTGAGCTTTGCATTCTGATCTGAGTTTCCCGTCCCTACTGACCCAAGTCCTCCTTCGCCATTTCCAGCGTGCGACTTGTCTTGAATGCCAGAGTTCTGGTCCTTTGAATCAACCTTCTTTCTGATCACGTGCTGCCAGATGTTCTTCAGCTGCTCAATTCGAACCGGTTTTAGGAGGTAATCGCAAGCTCCGTGGGTGATTCCCTTCATCACAAGCTTGTGATCCCCATTTACAGACAACACTAAGAACATGTTTACATTCATAATTAGTAACGAAGCCTAACTTGAAAAACAAAATCTGCAGACTTGAGAAATTTCAAATTTTCAGAATCTAAAACGAATGAATATAAAAGATTTGAGGAGTGCAAGGGGCTTTACTTATAACAGGGAGATCCATCTCAAGCCCGACAAGCTCAAGTAGCTTGAATCCATCCATGTCTGGCATCTGCACATCACTGATAACCAGGTCAAACTTGTCCTTGTTTTCTCTCAACAACTTTAATGCAGTGATTGCGTGACTCCTCGTCGTAACTGCAAAATCCATCAAATGATATAAACACACCAATTTTCTACAGGAATAAAATCAAACCTTCAGATGCAAAAGTAGAGCAACCAAAGCATACCAATCTATCATAATCCAATCAAACATAACAAAAACTCTGACTCTATCTGTATACAATGAAACAGAGAATTCAAATTCAACCTAATTGATTTGAGAATCCATTGGCTCTACAATATCTAAGCGGTAATCTTATTTCTAACTTCAAGCAACAGTTTTTCTCCTAATTTTAGAAAAAGAATCAATCTTTTGGATACAAATTATTATTACAAAAAATTCACAGAATTATTGAGAAAACTATAAAATTGACTGACAAAATCTATTCAGCAGATATATCTAAGAACCCAATCAAAAATTACTAACACAAATCACAAAATCTAAATAAAAACACCATTTTATCCCCCCAAAAAATAGCTTGATAACAAAGCAAAAATATCAGAAAATTCATGACAGAAAACCCAATTGACAAACCATGATATTGACATCTACGGAGCAGAGCCTCTAAGAGCTTGAGACAAATGGGATCATCGTCTACGGCAAGCACACGCATCCCAATGGGAAACTGGTCTCTGGGTTCATCGAGTACCCGCTCAACGGTCATTTTTTCAACCAGAGAACTTCACAACTCCAAGCAACAAAAATGGAGGACAGAAAAAGTTTGAACCTTGAAGCTTTTTACTACCGGTTTTGACAAACCCAGCAAAACCCAGAATTTAAAAAATAGAAGGATGCAGAGAAAATGATTTGATGAGATGGGTAATTAAAGAAAGAGAGAGAAAGAGAGGGATTAAGGAGTGTGATTAGTGGTAAACATGGAATATTAATAATAAATGCCCCTCTTTTCTGTCTCTCTTGGTGTTTGTGTAATCCGAGAGAGAGAGAGAAACGGAATCTGAAGATATATGTATGGACTGAGAAATTAGAGTCCTCCCTCTCTGTTGGCCTTCCTGAAATGGACCCTGTTTTTCCTGGTTTTTGGGTTCAGTAGAATCTCAGTATTTGATATCAGAATTTAATTTTCATTTGAGTTTTTTACTTCTTTTGATATTTTATTGTGTTTTGACTTTTTGTGGAAGAAATTATAATTTTTGTCTACGAAAATGTAAAAATGAAATTACAATTTATCCAAAAATCATTTAAACACATATGGAAAAATAGAGAATCTTACCAAGTAGGGTTGGTTTTTTTATCTGCAACCGAAAGATTTTACTGCAGATTCTGAAACAATTTAATCGCTTCACATATGGGAAAAAATATTTTTAAATTTTATTCTTATAAGAAAATCTTTGTTTAAATTGTTTTCCTTTTTTACCTACCATTTTGTCAAAATTTCCTACTTGGTTATTTCAATATATGTCTTATTAGAGATTTCCTCCAAAAATTTACATGATATTTGAACATGCCAATGAGGATTAGTTTATTTGTTTAGGATCGTTCTCTT